GTTATAATTAAAATCCAATCCTGAACCTTCCTCACTTGTTTTCTAATTGTATTTGTAATGTGATAGGAAGAATATTAGCCACTGCTGTGCCTGAAAATTAAAAAGTTAGTGGTCTCAAGCTTCCTCTGTTGGAAGATCTCCTAACTCTGCTTCCTGTCTTTATATAGTGACTCTGTAGTAACTGCTTCCACGATCCATCTTCAGGGGAGATGGCGGGGGCGGGGGGAGCTCACCTGGAATCTTCCTTGCAAGCATGATGTATGGGAAAGATTGACCTTTGTTGCTTTGCTAGCATATTTTTAAAGGTGAGGGAAAAAGTAGGTAATTTTATAGTGCCAGATCATGGCACTGAGGAGTATGACTACCTTCTTTCCATTTTGGAAAATAGATCAATCTCACAAGAGATGAGCATAATCTATTTTGCAGCCTGCTGCTTAGTCTGGATAAAAGAGTGGGTTTTGCTGAGAAATAAAAGAATTTTAGAATTAGAAGAGCATGATCCGAGGTTTAGATAGCATGGTCTTCTGTGGTACAATAACGCTAAGGTTAATTTAGATTTTAAGAATCATCATATTAGAAGTGCCATATTAAGAATATGGAACAGATATAAGCCCAGGCTGTACCCCAAAATGCCTTTATGGGTCTCAGCCCAAGAAGCATTTTACAGGAAAGAAACAATATGTAAAGAACAATGGTTCACTTTTTGAGAGTTCTTAGAACAGGAACATGGAGAATAAAAGATGAAATCATGGGAGCAAGTGGCTGCAGAGGGATTTAGTTTTCAATGGTTTTTGTATGCACAGTTAAGTGAACATTTAAGGTAGATGATAGGACATTTGGAATTGAGTAGCAGATGACAGAATTTTAAGTTGGACTATGTAACATATTGATGGAACAGTGGGAAAATATGTGGTTAAAAGGATTGAAATGTACATTATGTGATAACTTAAAAGAGATTTTTTTATAAAATGATGTACTGTTAGTATATGTCTCAGAAAAATTAGCTAGAATTTATAAAGGTACTTCAGATTTATGTTGGAAATGTGGTAGACAGCATGAAGGGTCATTTTATCATGCCTGGTGGATTTGTAAAAAAGCCAGAAAACTTTGGGCTCGGATGCATATAACAATACAAAGAATTTTAGAGATCAACATTCAGCTGAAACCAGGACTTTTCTTGCTGGGATTAATAGACAACTAATTAGAAAAGAGCCATGGAAGATTATTTTTATATATGATTACTCCTATGAGGCTGTTATATGTGTGAAAATGGAAAGAGACTGAAATACCCGCAATGGAGGAATGATTGGTGAAGATGACCAAACTAGCAGAGATAGCAAAATTACAAAATAACAAAATTTTAATAATGAAATTAACTTGTTTATTAGAGAAAGATCAACCATTACATTTATTAGCAACTGAAACTCCTTATTTTCTTTTTGCTGAAAAAGAGAAAAATGAAATTGTGATTTATGGGTTTGAGGTGTGTGATTCCCTGAAGGAGTCATGGCTGGACTCTTCTTACATTCTTATAAAGTAGTGCTTGCTTGAAAGCCTTTAAACTGTGGAGTCCTTGGGGTTCTCTGAGCTTGGTTCTTTTCTTGCAAATGTTTCATTATCC